TCTCCCAATGGCATTCGCTTGCTCTGAGGCTCCTTCTTGTAGTGTCAGGCATGCCTCAGTAGGATGTCCCACAATAGAACAAATCCCACACACTTTTGCTTGTTGCATTGTCCTAAGTGCCATTTGCTGCACAAGCGATGTAAGGCCGGCTAATTGTCATTCAATTTGAGAGGTTGCTCCTACCTACTTGCTTGTTTAACCGGTACCGCTTCTCTACTACCAAATTGTTGTGAGTTTGCGGCCATGTTGGCTATCAATCCCTAGCAACTACCAGTGTTTTATCCATTAAAGCTCCTCCACTGGCTGCATCAATCATATTCCATCAGGAGCAATCTTTCATAGAAGTATTGTAGAAGTAATTACTCACTGATTTGGTGGTTTGGGCAACTAGCACATAGCCTTTTGAATCTCTCCCAATATTCATAGAGATTTTCCCCCATCAGGAGCAATCCTTCATAGAAGTATTGTAGAAGTAATTGCTCACTGATTTGGTGGTTTGGGCAACTAGCACATAGCCTTTTGAATCTCTCCCAATATTCATAGAGATTTTTCCCTTGAGATTGCCGAATGCTGCAGATTTCTTTTCTGATGTTTGTAGCCTTCGAAGTTGGGAAATACCTCTCCAAGAAGATCTTTTGCATTTCATTCCACGTGATAATAAGACCGAACGACAAATAATAGAGCCATTCCTTAGCAGTGTCTGTAAGAGAAAAAGGGAATGCCCGCAATTTCACTTGCTCTTCCGATATACCCGCAGGTTTCATGCTTGAGTAAACCACATGAAACTCCTTCAAATGCTTATTTGGATCCTCTCCAGCGAATCCATGAAATCTAGGAAGTAGATGAATCATCCCGAACTTTAGTTCAAATCCCACCTCCACTTGAGGATATTGAATGCATAGAGGTTGTTGAACAAAAGTTAGAGCTACAAGTTCCTTTAAGGTCCGATTTGCATCCTCCATTTCAGGCTCTATGTGTTCGGAGTCACTTGAGGATTCAATGCTCAATCACCTTAGATGTCTAGTTGGAGAAATGTCTTCTCCACTCTCCGATGTGTCGGCCTCTTTTCTTGATCTTAGGTTGTAGTGTGTTATAGGCTTTTTGCTCATTCACAACCAAAATGACAAAGAAAAAAAAATAAATAGAAAAATAACAAAAAGAAAAATATTGCAATTAACAAATTGATAGAACAATCCCCGGCGACACGGCGCCAAAATTGATACGTTGCATATCACGTTCCAATTAATTTTCCTTACTTAACTTGAATGTGTCGTTTTAAATAGTAATATGGCAAGTAAGGGTCGTTTCCCGTAGAAGATTGATTCAATTATGTCAATTGCACACTAAAAAGTAAAATTAATAATAATAGACGAAATAGATTAAATGGGGGGGTTTGGTTTGTTGAACTAAGGAAAGTGATAAATTTAAACTAGAAAAGACTTGAAATCTGAAATAAATAAAGTAGTTCTTGATTGAATGCGAGAAAATGTGATTGGGGGATATTTCGTCACCACGAGAATGATTTTCATGTCAATTACAACAATCAATTTTCATTCTCAAGATTAACAACAATTCGAGAATAATTACAAGCTCAATTACCTCAATCTCTTCTTACATGTTAGTCGAATAAAACAAGTTCTTTACTCAACCCTATTCATTAAACAACCTAGAACAAGCTCTCTAAATTTAATTTAACAAACGCATTACGACAAAAGAGATGAATTGAATTAATGGTAAACTCGCAAGCTCGGTTTACAAACTTGAGTGTTAATCCACTTACATTCAATTGAAAATTCTTCATAATCTATTGAAATGTAATTGCTACTAGGTTTTAGAATCAATAGCTATTACGTACTACTAATTCCAAACTAGCATTATCGAAACAACTTAACCATTTAGTTGTACACCTAAACAATCAAGAAGAACAAAATAAACATTTAACACAATGGATTAAACACATTAATCAAGATAATTATAAAGCACAATTTAACTGAAAATCATAGCTCGGGTTTGAAATAATCCTCAATAACAAAATATAATTAGTTATCCAGGAAATATCCACAAATAACTAACAATTTCTTACAAAACATTGATGGAAAAAGTGAAAAGAAAAACTTATTGATAAAGAGAGAAATGGTTGAAAATCCTTCAATATCAATGGATCATCTTCTCCAAGCTAATGCACCATTTCCATGTTTCAATCTTCCTCAAAATATCTTAAAAAATAAAGGTGAAAGGAAAAAGGAAAAAGAAAGAAAACAAGAAGAAGAAGCAGAAGAACCAGCTGCCCCTCAAGTTTAAGAATGAAAAATCTTGTGTTTGGTTGAATGTTTGAACTTAAAACCTAAAGGAAATTGCAACATTGGTCCCTGGAACATTGAAAACAATTAAAAACGGCCCAGGTGGCGCCTAGGCGCTGGAACAGTGGTGCTTGGGCGCCACAGTTTCTATTCTTTGTTCGGGCTGGGCGCTTGCTGATTTTTTTTTTAAATCTTCTTTCAGCGGCGTCTTTGGTCGTCTTTTTCGTTTGCCTTCATCTTTAGCTCGTTCTCGCATAAATTCCTTCAATTCATCGTTTAATCTCCAGTTTTCACCTATAAAATAAAAATAAAAAAATTTAAGTAATAAATTACAAATAAAAATAGCAAATATCTAAGTTTAATGGTCCGAATAAGCTTAATAAGCCCGCATTTATCAATAAGTCATGTGTAGTCCCACGAAGGTTAATTATAGACTCTACTTTAATTAAAACTAAATTTAACAAAACACACGATTAATATTTTAGGTTATGAAAATTTTCCCCTAATTAACAACTTAACTACGTGATTTGAGAGCATATTAAGATCTTAGAGTAAAATTATCAAGCAAAGCACAACGATCAACAATCTCCCATTGTAATCCTAATTCACTTCTCAATTACCTCTCAATTGTTAATTCTTGCCTAAATTGAAAATATGATCCAGCTTTAATTAAAAAGCCTCTATCGACTATCAAGGTCAATCAATTCTATGCTCATATGTGAACCTAATTAATTTTAGTTAAATTATGAACACGTAAGCATTTATTATTCACAAAGATTATCTCATTTGACTTCAGATGGTGTGCCGATTTTTCTATCAACTAGCATACCCTATGTTGTTTATTAACATGAGCTATTTTTATCGAACCTCTAGAATCACACACACATTTTAATGTTAAACAATAATCAAAATAAAATAATAAAATAAAAAACAAACAACACAAATAACAAGAATTTAACAAAAAAAATGAGCAACTTTGAATTGACATGATGTAGATAATTGTGTTAAGATGGACACAATCAATAACAAGAATATAAAGTTTTAATGATAGAGAGATGAAAAAAGATGAATACATCCATCCAATCTTGAATCCTTTTAATGATCTTGAGTTGTGTCGTCGTCTTGTCGTCAATTTGCCCCATATATGGATGAATTCTTCTTTTGGAATAGCTCCAAGACAATCTATTATGAAGTCCTATTTAAAGTTTTAAAATGTGAAAAAAAAAAAGTGTGATTGGAATACCGCAAACCTTAAAAATTATGTTTCCAACTCGAACTAGGAAATTTGGCAGCAAGGCATGACATGACAGGTTCTATGAAACGTTCACACCTCCTACCCACCGTTCGCAAGGTGTTTTCATCCCAGGTCCTCAAAGTTTTCAACATCTTCAATTCAGTCCTTTGAATTTTTGAGTAACCCATTTAGATCCTTAAAATTTCACCTATTAAAATTTCGGTACACTCGTAATGTTATGTTCAGATTTGGAAAAAAAATTATGGAGGAGCAATTAGTATAAATAATTCTAGAAAATATCGAATCTGATTTAAATAATATAGAATACTCTTTGATATAAAAGTGTGCTTAGAAAAATTTTACGTTGTCGCAATTATGCTATGATATGAAAAAGACCTTTCAAACTATTGTATCTACTCGTCTTTAATTATGAAGGACCACAAAAATGAAATGTCACTTACTAAATTTAGTTCACGTGATTTTTGTGCTTACATTTGGACAAAAGAAATGAGGACCATTTGTACTATTAATATCTCATCCAAAATTTGTATAACATGTGTTTTTAGTTTTGACATCTGTCTCAATTATACAATGGCATGAAAAGACCATTAATACAAGTAACACAGTTATACTCATTATATGTGTACACACACACATATATATATATATATATAGAGAGAGAGAGAGAGAGAGAGAGAGAGAGAGATGGTACAAGTGAATTACAGTAAATTAAACTTGGGGGCATTTGGAAGTTAGTCGGAAGGGAGGATGATATCAAATTTCAAGATATTTGCCTCCTCATGGTAAAGGCAATGTCTAGACACCAGCTTGCATTCAGCTTTAAATTAATGCTGGATCACATTTAATATTAATAATAATAAGCAATATGTACAATTTTATACACACTATATTGTCTTATTTGCAACACTGGTAATAAATTGTCCTCAACAATTTACTAGGGTAATAATCGAGGCTCGACCAACTTTTGTGCAATGTTCTATAACGATTGAGTGAGTGAGTATGTCTAGTCTAATTTTGATAATAATATGACATGTCGATAATTTAATTTCTCGTAACATAAATAAATGACTCAAATCGAGAGAAGTTTTCAAGAAAGAAGAAGGAGAATCAAGAAACTGTAGTGGTTTCTCTCAAAAGTCACATGCAAAGTTATCCAAAAGAAAATCTAAAAGCCTCAACAATTCCACGTGTCAACACCTTGTGCAAACCCTCCACTAAAAGAAGTTGTGTTTTACATAAGCCTTTGTGCTACATATACATCGCAACTTACATATTTGTTTACTGACTGATGATGCGATGAGATTTGATTGAGTCAAAATCTTTCAACTGAAAAAAGAAAAATTAAAAATTCCACATTTTCTTGTTGACTCATCATCAATCTGTAAAAAATTATGTAAATATGATGATGTACAACAAGCATTTTTCCAACATTTTATAACAATTTTGGTAGAACGCTTAAAACATTATATAAAGAGATACAAGCAGGGAGTCTTTCACTCACATTTCACTAAAGCTTCCTATTATCTCTCTCTTTTTCTCAATTATGGAGTTCTCTGTGAGGTCATTTGCAATAGTGTCCCTCCTGCTGTTGGTTTCCCTGTCCACTGGTTTGTAATTTATTCAACTCCATAGCTTAGCAACTACGTTAATTCACCAAATTTGAAATAGCGTGAACAACTTTAATTTTCATAGCAAAGCATTCGTATTTGTTTACTTTGGACTGTATTATGTATTAAACTGTGTTTGTTTATCTTTACTCTTTCGTATTTTTAAACAGATATGAGTGGTCCTCTTGTGGTGGATGCTAGAGGATGTAACTGGGATCTTTGTCAAAAATTTTGCTCACTTTTTGGTAAGCCAGCATGCTGCCCAGGACCATTTGGTCCGTGCCGTTGCACAGGAGGTTGTCCACGTATTACGAGTCGTCCTCTCGTGGAGGATGTTCAAGTTCGACGTTGTGACGTGGATCTTTGTAAACAATTCTGCCAGCTTCAGGGTTTTCCAGGAGGATGCTGCTCAGCATTTAATGACCAGTGTGCATGTGGAGAAATTTGCCCAAACGAAGAGCCTTTCATTAAGGAGATAGTAACCGCTTGATGCTTTGCTGCAACAGCAGGCGAATAAAGTGCTTATCTATCTGTAAAGCTGGTTGAGTTAAATAAACTGTAGATCTCTGCTTAGAGACTACATTAAACTGGCTGTAGTTAAATAAACTGTAGTCTTTGCTTGAAGACTACATTGTGGAAATGTAGCCATCTTTATTTATTCGCCTGCAAGTGCTTATATATCATGTTGTGTATTTTAATAAACTTGGAATGAGTATATTGTCAAATAATTTTTGTTGTCTTCTTTAAGTTTTTATCAAATTGAGATCAGCACTAGCATCAAGTATCAAATCTTCCATCTAATTATTCCCTCTTTCATCCAACTCAAAAAGTGCATTAAAATCTAAATCAAACTCAATAATTAATTATAACCATACATTTCATGGGATCCATAACTTTCCCACCTTGCATGTCTTCAATTTTTATCAAAATCTACAAAAATAAGATATCTATTGAAATCAAACATTAGCTTAATGTGTTCCCCTATTGTAATAAATTTTCTTTCATTTTGATAATACATGTCACTTAATGTAGTTGGTTTATCCTCCCAAAAAAAAAAAATAATAATAATAAATAAATAAAATAAAATCTTATCACTATCTTCTCTCAATTAAACATAGGGAAAGTGCATTTGCATCCCCAAGGTTTGTTGAAATAACATTTGCTGCCCATAATAAGACAATTAGGTTTGGAGTTCTAGTCTACTGAGTTAGTGAAACTTATTCATCTTTTTGCTTACGACTCTCTAATCAAGTTGAGGTAGGAGAAAGCAATTTCGCTTATGTTGAAAGAAAGATACAAAATTTTAACAATTGAGATCATAAAGAATAATGTTTTTTTCTTTTACTGTACCTCGACGTGACATGACGTGAACAGGGTTCAGGAATCCGTCTCCAACATGATTAGAGAATAATCCATCTTTTTCAGGTTTTTTGGTTTTGTAATGAAATGATGGAAGAAGTTTTGAAGTTTGTTATTCTTCCTTACCTTATTAGATTATGGGCAATGGACTGCATTCAAGACAAGAGGCTCGAGCGAAAGGTTTTAAGGCATGTATTCTCTTAATTTTGAATTGAATAACAAAGCAGTAAATTTTATTTTGTCCATACTAATTGATAGACGTGTTTTCTTGAATGAAATTTATTATTTCGTAAAATATTATAGAAGAATATTGTATTGTTATTCTTATAGAAGTAACAATATATAACATTAATATGGAAGAATATTAGGTAGTCACTCTTGAATAGATGGTGGATTCGTGCCATCACTTCATTTTATGTTGATCTGCAAGCTTCTTGATTGGATCCTTCTTACCTGTCGACTTGGATTTTAGGACTTGTGGATAGACAGGCTTTCTTTATAGCTATTAACTACATCACTAGTAGTAGAGGATCATGGTTTATCCACAGCACTCTTAGATATATCATACATCTTTTTCCCTTGATTGTGATCCTATTTTATACTTCTATCAAGAGGAAAACCAGATTGCTAATTCACTTACTTCACAAGGATGCAATCGACGCTGCACTAGGAGTATAGCCTTCTCGACTTAGCCCGATGACTTAATGTCACTGTACACATTGACAAGTATGGTCTGTTAGGCTCTATTTTTCTTGCTTTATATAGTATAGGAGGTAGTAATTCCCTATTTAATATTTTTGTCTTTTGTACTTTTGATTAGAGGTCAAGTTTATGTCCTTTTTCCCTTGTACCTACTAATGTTCCATTCATATTTTGGTAGAAAAATTATAATGCCCTTCATCTTAACTTAGCGGAGCGTGAAAAATATATTGAGATTGTAGTGGTGCTTTGCTAAAAATATCATACAAAATTGGGGTAAATAAATGCTGAAAGAAACACTTATTTATAGGGAGACAAAAGTAAAATTTAGTTTTTATTTAATATAGATTTATAAAAACTTTCATTACAAATAGAAAGCTAAAAACCTACTTTATGTTGACATATAAATACAAATTATATCCCAACCGACTAATACCATGTCGATTCTTACAAATCTCCAACTTCACTTTGAATTGTCAAAAGCCTCCAAATAGGATTTCTTCCATTTCTCTTTGAATCGAATAATGTGCCTACACCACTGTTTCGTCTCTTCAATCATCTTGTTTATTTCACTCACGAAAAGTGTCTTGAATTTTTTCTTCTACGACCATAATTCTTAAGACTGAGAACCAACATACGCCACCATAATGTATATATGCTTGTGGAATCACTAAGTTCTAAAAATTTCAAATCCTTCCATGCCGATAACCTAGCTAGAAATTATGGCGAAACTTCTTAGTTGCCTTTTCTAGGAGTTCACCAAGGCTTCGACACAAATTTTCCACCACACACCCTTCATCAATTTCAAGAAAATACCGTGTGCGAATTTGTTGAACTCCTAGCAACAGCCCTGTCGTCCCCATTTTGAATCTTTTACTACAAAAATTATCATTTTCATCAACTACCATCTAATTTATTTGTCAAAATGGTTTGTGTGCACAGGCCTTATTTCTTAAGGGAAAATTTTATCCATACGCATTCTAGGCAATTCCCGCATCAGCATTCTCCTTTCATTCTTTCCTTATGTTTAGATAATGTTTATAAACTATTTATAAACGAACAAATTATTTTTAACCACAAATTATTGGAAACCATAAGTAATACCTACTTATCCACCATTTATTTCTATTTTATTTATAAATATTTCGGAAACATGCTTCTTATATATAATATATCTATAATATAAATAATTTCCTTTTTTATTTTATTATTTTAGATGAACAAAAAATTTCTATATTGTTTCGTTTCTTTTCAAACATTTATTCAATAATTCATGAAGGTTTGAAAAATTTTACATTTACCTCAATTATATGATATGAAAAGACTTTCAAAGCAATTATGGTACTCAACACTTGTAAAACCTTATGTGCATTTTTCTTGTACAAATGGTAAAATCGAAACTAGAACTTACTTCACTTATTCTAATTTCTGTTCACTTGTGATTGTAGTGTATATATTTATTTAGACAGAAGACTTGGGAGACCAATTGTGGTACAAATTAGTCTATATATATATATATATGTAAGGTAATTAGCATAAAACGTCCCTTCCTTTCATGATTTTTGTGGAAAACGTCCCTACCTTTCGTTTTTTGGCGTATTTCATCTCTACCTTTACATTTTCTTGTGCAAAATATCATTTTCATCATTTTTCTCAATAAAAAGCTATAAAATGACTAATATACCGTTCTATTTAAATAAAAAAAATAAAGACCTAAATGCAATTGTAGTTTCAAATAAAAAGATAAAAAAAATTCTCCACCTCCACTTTCTCCTTTGAACTTTTTTAAAAATTGGAACTATGATTGCAATTAGTTCTTTATTTTTTTAAATTTAAATAGAAGGGAATATTAGTCCTTTTATAACTTTTTATTGAGAAAAATGATGAAAATGATGTTTTCCACAAGAAAAGGTAAAGGTAGGAATGAAATGCGCCAAAAAAACAAAAGGTAGGGACGTTTTGTGTGTGTATATATATATCTATATGAGGCCGACAAAATTTACGTTTCAGTAGGTTGAGTAGGATAGATAGATAGCTCATCCATTTTGTCGATTTTACCCTCTATGGTTCACGTAATTTACTTTCATTAGAGCAAAATGGAATTTAATACAAAATGCACAAATTTGATCCCTGTTTGATAGTAAATTAGATTTTAATAAAAGTTGATACAGGATTGAAAATTTTTGAGGTCCATAAAATATGTGGTTAAAATCAATTGTTGACATTGATTTAGATTAAAATCCTAATTTCAATATCTACAAAATAGAGGCTTAATTTGAAAGACACTCATTTGCATAAAAATAAGATTGATTTTTTTTTTTTGGGTCTCAATTATGCAATGATATGAATAGTAAAAAATATATTATAAGTAAAAAAATTCCCCTTGTAAATAAAACGTTCAGTTAAAAATAAAAAATAAAAAATTCACTGAAAAGTAAAGAATGACTCAAAAGTACATTCAGTTAAAAATAAAATAAATAAACATCAATTGTCTTGTTAATGCACACATACATGACTTTATTTCCTTTTGTGGTCATTAATATCTCACTACTTGCCTATGTTGTGAATTCTCCTCAAACAACTTTCGTGAATTTGGCGCGACCCTAATTTTTTTGATCAAGCTAGAGGAACATAATGATTGACATAAGAAATGACTGAACACACCCACCTCGAGGGTTGGACATTATTTAATTCATGTGGAACCCTCACACTTTGTGAGGATAGACAATCACACCTAGTGTCAAAACATTTTCAGGCAGAGTGGCATTTTTCTAATGTTTTATTTCTGTTTGATTAAGGTTTTCTTGTTTCTTGAATTTAATATCGTGTGATCTTGCCTTTATATTAAGTTTATGTGAACATAAACTTAATGATATGTTGCCTTGCAGATTGAATCTCGCAAGACAAAAAGCTTCCTTGTGTTTTGCACTAAAATTCCCCTCATGAATTGCACTGTATAAAAAAGTAATTACTGAGGAGGTGATGAGTAGAGCAACAGTGGAGGAGCCTTCCATCAAGGAGATAGTAATCGCTTGATGCATTGCTGCAAAAGTTGGAGAATAAATTACTTATCTATCTAAGAAGTTTGTTGAATTAATGAACTCTGTTTCGTGATATTACATTGTCTTTAATTAAATAAAACATAGATATTTGCTTAGAGACTGCATTAAAGTGTAGTCTCTGCTTGGAAACTACATTGTCCATGTGTATCCATCTTTAATTACAAGTATTATGCTTAGCATTTTAATAAACTTGGAATGAGTATATTGTAAAATAATTTTTGTTGTCTTCTTTAAGTTTTTATCAAATTGAGATCTGCACTAAGGGTTGTGTAATTTCGGGCTATGATGTTAACATGGAAATATATATTTCATAGGCCTTGAATGATGAGTGAAATAAGTACCAACAACCAAATCCAGCGCTCTACCCGGCCCATTTATATTCCCTCTTGGATGACTTTGAATCTTGGCCCATTTAGCTTTATTATTAGTCTAACTAAAAGCCTAACCTAACCCTTTTTATATGGTCCTAACCCTAGCCATTTTGTAGTATGATTTGTCCGAGAAAAGTGAAGAAAACGTGGCTGCCCATTGAGAGAAAAAGTCAGTTGCCTTTGTGTAAAAAAAAACCCAATGGTTAGCTCCTTGATTTTGATCTCTTCCTTGCCTCCTTTGTGGTGTTTT